CTTAAGAAAAGGAATGCTTGCGTTTTGTTTCCATTGAATTCTACCAAGTTATTAGATCTCCATTCGAGAATTGTTGCCAAGTCCATATTTATGTTGTCAACATTTCTCCCTCGTTCGTTTCTGATTTGCCTGGCTGGTATTGGAGCCCTGGAAGAGAAGGCAGTATGGAGGATACTATCATCTGCGAAGCTGTGTACTGAACATGAATTTGCTTCCAACAAATCGTTGATATGGAGTAGAAATAGTGTTGGTGCTAGAAATGATCCTTGCGAAACACCAGCATTTATGATAAGAGAGTCAGATGAAACTCCGTCTACCACTACATGGAGAGACCTGTTTGAGAGAAAACTAGCTAGCAGAGAACATAGCTGGGGAGGCAAGCCATAAGATGGAAGCTTGGCTAGGAGTCCGTGTTGCCAGACTCGATCGAATGCTTTGGAGATATCAAGTGCTACGGCTAAGGTTTCACCATATTTTTCATTATACCGATTCCAGCATGTGATTGTAATAATAATGCATCAGTAATATCAATTTCTAGGGAAAGTTAGCCAAGAAGAAAATTTGTGGTCAAAATTGAAAGATTTTCTGATATATTTTCTTCAATATGTCTTGAAAAATCTATATTCTACTTCTTGATAACTTAACAAATCTTAACATTCTACTTTTTCACAAGGATGACTGCGTTCATTTCATTTATTATACAAGGTTCTTCGCTAATAAAAAAACCGTTACGACCTTTGCAAAGATATATATACTAACTATTTAGGTGATGGATCCATACTTTAAACTAACTCTGTATAGGATACTATAATCCCATTATTTTGGCGAAGTCCTATAAAGTAATGCTCGACTACATATAATTATTCTTGCAGATTACGTTCCACGTGGGCTTGGAATATTAATCGCCTGCACTTGAGAGGTTATATCATTATGTTAATCCGGTCATTGTCCTTTCAATAAGCCCTCATTAAGAGGTTGACAAATCTCGTGAATCATTGTTGATAATTATTAGTCTCGCTCGTGTAATTGCTAGGTGCTTCATGAACAATGAGACCAAACAAGACGAGCATCAGTAGGTTACTTTGAAAAATATTTTCTAGGAAGTACTGGATTCGATCAATATCATCTTAATTTTTAGATTACCAAATAATAAAGGAGCAAAAACTGTGTTCTTGAATTTTTTCTCTTGAAACGAAGCTAGATATGAAGTTGCAACTCCGGACATAATTTGTTCTTGAAGACTTTTTTTTCTTAAAACGACCTAACGAATCACCCTCTGAAGTATAGATGCATTCGCCAAATTTCCGAAATCAAAAATAACACCGAAGATGGCGCCAATTCAGAATATAAACGTTTAGGAAATTCTTTAACATTCATATTTCTCAGCAAATACATCAAACATTTCACAGTTAAACAGCATGAGAAACTATTTTCACAAGAAGAAAAAGCCCAGTATAAAAGGTGGATTCATGCAACATCAACTAAATCAAAACGAATTTTTAAATCAATTATTTGGTGCGTGCGCTGTCCTCAGTTGAATGTTGGCCATCTTCCCTAGTTTTAATTATTAGTTTAAGTCTTTTAGTTTCTTACATGAGCACCTTTATTACATTTTATAGTTTCATATTATTGGTTCATGGTTTAAGTTTAAAATTCATTTGAGTTTCGAATTTTGCTTGCATGAATCCACCAGAACTGGGGATTAAACTATATCCACGTCATCGTGAGCGAAATGGCCAACTGGCTAATATTAAACTATTCACCAATGTTTGTAGAAAGAGTGGAAACTGGAAAGAACCAGGTTCTGGGACTTCGACAAAAAAATTGATATAGTCATAAAAAATAAATATTCTTGACTGGCCTATAAAAGCAAAGTTTAATTCATCGGCGTGAGAACGACTATATAAAGAACAACTACCGCATTCTTATTGTTTTTCTTCTACACTGTATAGGTACACCGCGATGATTTTCTTTTTTGTGCTCTGTATGCTTCAAACAGTGTTAACATCCAGTTTCATCATAACGTGTCATTTCAAAAGTTTATAAAAACGACCTTTATACTAGGTGATTTTGTTTAATGTCCACCCTGAATAAGCATCCATGATGGCAATTATTGACGAAACACTATAATCGAAAAAAATACATACTTCCTCAGTACCTAATTGAAAAATAGAACATTTATCACTAAAACTGGTTTATCAAAAACAAAGAAAGTGTGGTCAAACTTCCATATATAAACTTTTTTTGTATAAAATTGCGCAATTTACACTCGTCTATCTGTCTGACAGCCAAATGTGAACTGGGCGTACTGATACTGTAGTGGTATTCCCCTTAGAGGAACTCTAGAAACATCATCAGGAAGGCAGGAGTACAATAACGATCATCCTGTAATACGCATCCCAGATTGTTTTCCAACATCCCAATGATTCCTTCATGAACCAGACTATTTCCGAACACTCAATATATGTCGCGGTGACAAATAACGTGACAGAAGATTCTGGAATGTTTTGGAAACAATCGATGGAACAATTAGAGAGAGAGGTATTGTTCTAAGAAGCTTCTAGAAAAAAAAGGAAACGGAAGATCATTCGAGAACGTTCGAGAAGCAAAGCCTACCAAGGGATCTTATATATATGGACGGCCGGACAACTGCCGTCAGTCAGTCCAGCAGCGAGTGTCAGAGAGACAGTCATATACCGCGTGATATAAATCATTTTACATAAATAGTAGTTATAAGTTTCTGCACCCGAATAACGTAACAATACTATCGAACTCTTCGTTCAGTTTAAAATTGACAACAAAAAATCGAATGAACTCAACAACCTAGAGTATATTCACAGAAGTTTATATATACATTCACTGAACATAGATAAAATGAGATAGTACCTACTCGATTTCAATTCAGTGAGAATGTTAATGAAGATAGTTGAATAACCCAATAAAAATACGCTGAATTAAAACAGATTATTCAACCATTTCGACGATATTACAATTTTCATGAGCAAATTGCCTGCTCTTAATTACTAATAAATAGTTACCGGGTATCAGCATACGAATACCTCGCGTTTTTTATTATCATTTTCCGCTGATATAAGCTCGATTACCACAAAGTGTATGATTAAATCAATAATGGTAGATGCGAGCAATCTTAAAGTGGATATTAAAAATACCTTGTATACCAGAGTTCTCATTATTACACGGCATTTCCTTGATGGAAATCTCGGAATAGGAAACTGCATGCATACCTGAAACAAGAAGAAATCGCAATTGATAATGAATACGAACAAGAACGAAATGATGATATACATAGACTATTATCGGTAGCAAAATGAAAATGAGAATATTGTGTAGAAATGATTAGTGTGCCAATTGGATACCTACTTGTTTACTTTATGAGAAAAAGTAATAATGCAAATTACTGTATCGGTTTCGATAAAGTAGTTGCAGGTGCTGGAATTACTTTCCTCAATAACTTTTGCCTATTTGAATAATGTAACACATGACCTTGAATAGAAGACATACATACATTGAATAGGTTAGCCCAAATTTGGCATTCTAATAGTATATTATGTAACAAGTCTCATAAATGTCCTTTTAGTAACGAGCGGAGCAGAGCGAGTGTCTAGAAGAGTTTATAAACGCTTTACATACTATGCTTTTTCTACGTAGGTACTCCTGTTATTCCTGCTAACCTACAAAATAATTCGAGAGGAAGGGGAATTGAGAACATAATACATGCAACTGCATGCAACCGGCGAGACACGTATAAGTGATATTGTTTGTAGATGTGTTCAGTCCATTGCTTACTAACCTTTGTTTCACGTTTATTGTCATGCTTAGCGCAAAATAAATAAATTGTTCTCAAAGATGGATGCTTCATTTTTACACTTCTTGGAGATATGCAAGTATACCAGAACATTCTTTTCAATTACTTCAATTTCACTTTCGTCTACATTTCGCATATATTTTTAATGAAGAATTCTGATACAAACGAATATTGTTTGAATAATTCCGATACAAAATTTGAAAATAAAAATTGACAGTCCATACAATTGACAGGCCAGACATGTCTCAAATTTCTGAAGCTGTGTTTAATGAACTGCGTTGCCATGGTAATGTGTTCAAGAAATCGTGTTGCCATGGTAACGTGTTTAATATTTTGAATAAATCACAGATCGTCAATCCGTGATTAATCGATCATTCAGCGTGGTACATATCCGTACGCTAAATGCCATTTTAGTTATGTGAGTAGAGAAAGGTATTTAAGTTCTGTGAACAATTTATTTATTGGTATTAGAGCATTTGCAAATTCAGATATAATAATTGTCTTGTCCCAAAAATTACTAGGCTGATTATATAACATCAACATAGTTGCATTCTCCTGTAGCAATTATCCCTAGTATTTATAAAAAGTGATTCGAAAAATGGACGAGTGTTTGCTATTTGCCAATTATATTCCAATTTTGGAAATGTTAATTGTATGCAATCGCATTCGACTTGACGTTCAATGGTAATTGAGAATAGATTGATAGAATCAATTGAAGCGTGTTCTAGTTTGCGCAATATTATCATTAAACAATGATGCACTAGAGCTTGAAATGGCGAAAAAAAAAGTTTAAAGAAGAAAAAAAAGTTCCACCTATTCAAATAAGAATTTGTATTGACCAATTTATTATTACTTCTGAACATTACAGACATTGTTACGAAGTTTAAGATCTACAAGCCAAAAATCTCCCTGATGAGTATATCCTACTAAGCCTATAGGGAATCACTAGATTCATGTTTATTTATAGGTATATTTCCAAAATCAAACACTAATAACACAAACATGGTTCTTATCAACATATCTTGACGTTGCTGTAGAAACTGAATAACTCACTTGATATGATGATTAAAACATCGCTTTGTTATATTTCACACAAAAGATTTATATTGTTTGAATTCAAATCGCCCAACAAATATTTAACAGAACACAGACAGAATTAAAACTCACTTATCGCCCTATCCAGATCCACATCTAATTCGACTCGTGCATTGGTAAAAACTGTTAACCAAATTATGTTCCGGAGAACCTTTAGCCCGAGCATCTTCCAGTATCTAGCAGCAATAACTGGTCAGTATTATCATCAACAGTTACCATTCAACCCCACCACCCATTGTTTTAGGAGCTTTCGCTGCGACCAGTTATGGCATCAACTCCAGCTGGACCTCACCATTCTCCATCTACCTAACCTCAACCTCATCGATCATCCCCATGACCAGCGAATCTCTATCTTGGTGCGCTATATCGCCTCTAATGGGCTGCTTCATCGGTGCCCTAATAGCTGCCAACATCTCGGACAGAATCGGAAGAAAGTCCACCATCTTGATAATGGCGCCAGTGGTGTTCCTATGCTGCATCGGCATAGGCTACGTGAGGAACATCTGGTACCTGGTGGTGCTCAGAATGATCATAGGGGTGACTGATGGTGCCGTGTTCACAGCTTTGCCCATGTACATAGGAGAAATAGCCGAGCCGAGAATCAGAGGCTTCCTGTCTTCCCTAGTATGCTTGTTCTTCATAAGCGGGGTGCTGATCATCAACACCATAGGATCTTTCTTCACGATACACACCTGCAGTATGATCAGTGCTTGTATACCAGTCCTGCATTTCATTGGGTTCTGCTTCATGCCAGAATCGCCGTATTATTACATCAAAGCGAAGCAGTACAAGCGAGCAGAGGAATCTTTGATGGTACTGCGGGGTACTAGCAATGTCAGCAATGAATTCCAGGTGATGACGGAAGCAGTTAGGTTGCAAGAGGATATGGTGGAGAAGCCGAAGATAACCGATCTGTTCACCATCCCTAGCAACCGTAAGGCGTTATCCATCTTCGTGATCATTTGCCTAGCTAATAGAGCTAGCGGTAAGGGCCCACTGATGTACTTCACAAGGATGATTTTCGCATTGTCTGGTAGCGATCTGAATGTGACCATGTGTACGCTAGTATACTGTGGGGTTGAGCTGGTCATAGTGATGATAGCTACTTACTTCATAGTAGACAGATTCGGAAAAAGGTTTCTGACCATCACTTCGTCAGTTGGTTGCATAGTGACTCTTAGTATACTGACGAGTTACTTTTTGCTGTTGCATCTGCAGTGCAGTATCATCAGTCATCTGAATTGGCTTCCTTTGACGACTCTATTGATTTACAATGTGTTTTTCAGTATTGGTATTTCCTTCACTCATATGTGCTATCTGAGTGAGCTGTTTCCTACTAGTGTGAAAGCTACAGCTTTGAGTTTTGCTGAAATATTCACGGTTGTGACAGGAGCTATTGGGACCAAGTTTTTCCAAATGACAATTGATTATTCTGGGACACTATGGGTGCCATTTTGTTGTTTTGCAACACTGAGCCTGATTTCATTATTTGCAATTATAAAGTTTGTGCCCGAAACTAAAGGAAAGAGTTTGGAAGAGATTCAGTTGTTCTTGAGAGAAGGAAATATTAAGACAAAATTGATCAAACTTTAGGATCATTTTTGTGATATTCATTCAGATTCCTTATTTTGGCAGATGCATTCATTAAACAGGGTTTCTATAAATGATTGTAGCCTTTATTTCTCCTGATTTTTTGGGATTTTATACAAAAATCCCATCATGTTCAATATAATGAATCAAGAGCTTTTCAATAGCTTTCACATCTTTTAATCAGACTCATCTGATGATTTGCATTGGTCATTGAAATTGACATAATCAAGATGACAGGATACGTGGTTAAAAGACTGGGATGATTGATATACGTTTTGCAAAAACGAATAATCTCGTTAGTGAATCTCGGTCACATTTTATGCTTACCTCGACAGAAAATAAATCTTCAGACTCGAACACTAAATTATGACATACTTTTGGCTCAATGAGTGCTGAACAATTTGCAGTGATTATCATTGTTGATTAATTGCACATTAAAATGTTGTCGACAAGGATAATATTGACATCGTTAACACTTGCATAGAGTTTTTGTTGATATTACCAGCTGAGAATTCTTGATGCCGTCTGAAGGGAAGTAAGAAATCAATGGTTTTTCTTCATTTTCGACAGACGTCACTATATACTAAAGTAATGACCGGAAATATTTCTCGACATACTTTTTTCGTCACTTGGAGAAATTAATTGATGATTCCATTGCCCCACTTGGTGCATCTATGACAATTTTTTGTTTACATAATTCGTAACTGCATCAATAATTGAACAGGTAGTTTCTCGACGAGCTACAGATTAATTTCCCATGGGAAAATGGCTTTTAACAATTTTTTGACCAATAAATAGAATAATCAACTACGAAATAACCACATTGCTCGAAGTGCAACCATCGGTTAAATAAATACAAAAAAGCTCAGTCATTTCTACAAATGTTCGTAGTTGAAATTACGCCAGTCGGGCAGTCAGACACTCCCATTTTTGGGTATTTCAGTTTTGTGGAGTGTTTCTTTCCTTCTATGTGGTCTAGATGGCGTTGAACCCGTCTGGCACCACTGTGCCATACCATAAATATTGCCGATTGGAATTCGTTGGGCTAGGTTACGCTTAGCCGGCGGTCTTCGAACTGCTAGCTGGAGATTACCCTACACTGAGGAGAGTCAAGGAGCTCGAAACCGGTCTGTAGGTGTGTTGCGTTAACCTGGTTAAATCGGAATTAATCGACATTAGGGAAAGAAACACAAAAAAACGAAAATTTGGCAAAAAAATATGTTTTTGCCAAATCTCATGATTCACCCTATATATTGGTAAAGAGGGGAAAAAGACACTTTCTGATGGTCATTAGGTATTCCCCTCAAGGGCCTCTATTCGTGGTAAGAGTATGTACAGTTCCTCATGACTCACCCTGTATAAGTATTTAAATAGAATGTTTGAGATAATACTACATCCGAATGTTCGAAATTGACAATCATGAATACAATTTTTTCATTGGAATCTGAAAGTGAAATTAGAATAAGAAGAATTGTTTTAATAAATACTTTAACGTGAAGCCAGTGAAACTGCAGAACCATTATATTTTATGAAAAAGAGAACTAGGTCTTTGAAACTTTCGACCGATTTGCATGTTCTCAGAGCAAATACAAAAACATGCTTTTATTCACTTCGTTGTCTTCCCAGGAATGCAGTTAGACGATGGAAGTGTCATTTCAGCATTTCAGATTGTTATGTGCAATCTTGACATTCTTGACTTGTTGAATGTTGAATAACCGACCCGACAACTGATTTCACTCAAAAGACGGAAAATATCTTTGATTCATCATTTGATTCTATGTGACTTCGTGATTTATAAGTCAACCATTTCATTCATTGATGAAAGTTTATCTAATATTTGTGTGAAATTTTTCCAACTTCTGGACCGTTTTTGTGACACAATTCGATTCCCCCATATGATGTTAAATGGAAAAAAATTATAGCCAGATTTGACAATTCGTGAGAAAAATCACGTGCCCCTTCGTTATATTTTTTTCGACGAAAAAAATGTTTACCAAGTTTTTGTTATATCTCATTTCTATAAGGAAAATAAATACTAACAGAACAAACTGGAGTGAAATCACATCATCAGTTCGCTAGACATGATGATTAGACTTTTCCGCATATGAAAAATCAAATAGGTAGGTATATTATGATTGTCCTGTCCCTGTGTTGACTATATTTCGAATTTTTTTCCTCTACAAGTTTTTATAATGCATTTTTTTTGTGGAATATATTTGAAAGGCAACTTGTGGAACGTTTCATATGTTAAAGAAATAAAATAGAAACATTTGCTCGACAGATTTTACAATTCAAAATTTTGAGAATATTCACGATATAGTAAAATGACATAGTATGAAAATTGTATATTTTGTGATACAAGCATGAAATTATTATCATTGTCAGTACATTGTATGAACATGATTTTAAGATATTTGGGCACTTTATTGTGAGATTTTGGAGCGATTTGAATTTACAGTGCTTTAATTCGTAATTTACTTTATAAATACATGTTAAACAAAACATGATGTCAATTTCTGAAGAAACCCCTGACACAAGTCGATTTTTCATCTGAATTTGCTACATTTACGATTAAAAAAATTAATATAATATATAATTTTCTCTAATCGAACACCCTATACATCATTACATTTTTGGAATCTCGATGGAGAGATGAAATCAAAAATATCTCACATATATGGTTTGTGTACAGTGCGTCTGTCAATTTCAGTTATGGATAAATGATAACGTCATTTTTCCTAAACGAATCATTCTGAATGTATTAGTCAAATTTGAAAGAATCCTTACATTAAAATAAAATTCGACGGCACGAGCCCTCTTTTTGAAAACTATACTTTCAATTCTTCACGAGTTTATCCACTATACTTTACCATAGCACTGAATTCAACGCATTGTATTATACAAACCCTATATGTGTGATATATTCTTGAATTCAGCTTCCCATGGAAATTCCAAAAATTGAATTATATATGGTGTGTTTCATTTGACAATATGGTCGCGGACTTCATTATTCAAACGGAGATGACCCTGTGTAATCAATTCTCACTTATAAACGTGGTAAATTGAAATTTAAAATCAATGGGTCTCAGGAGATTCCTCAGAAATGGATCGTTCAGCTAAAAATCCATTTATTCTGCAGTTACAAGAGCAAAACTGATTCATTTTTTGGAACAATTTTGTATTTGGGCATATTTTTGGGCATCAGACCACCGACGTTGGGTTTCATTATTTTCTCTCTCCTGGAGCGCACGAGAAGAATTCCGCATTATGTTCGAAAAACATCGTGCGTACCTAGGGAGGATAAAGGGAGAAGGTTGAAGATTATTAGTTCTAGGGAATACTTTCTTTGACAAAGAATTCCGAAGCTTTGCCGTTCTATAGACAAACAAGTCTTGGTAAAGACTTGTCGACATATTACGAGGTTGATGACAAGGATGTGCTGAGTGTTCATTAATTTTTTTTAATAATCACTGAAAAGTCTTCCTCTCAATTTCTATAGAACTTTGCGGTTTTATTGTTCATATTAACATGGAGCTTCTTCTGATGGTGCTACTAAATTTAAAATAATAATTCCTGTGGGGTTGCTCAATATTTTTGTTAAATATCATTGGAATAGTTCTATATGTTTATTAGATCGAACAATTGAAAATATAACATCCTTAGAGAAGGAATGTAAAGTGACCCAATATCTTTATATCTAGATCATATTATTATGTAAGAACAATGGGGAAAACTGCATGCTTGTATCACAAAAAGCACAATTGTTATGAATTTTTCTGCTATGCCGCTTCACCACGAGGGTACCCCCACTATTTAATCTAGAAAAGGGTAGGTTACTCGGAGGTATAGCCACATAATTTTTGTGACGACATCCGTATTTCTCTGCAAGTTTTTTGTGCTATAATGTATGACATGGTTTCTTCTTGAATCAAACACATCCTATAGACATTTCATCACGTTCTTCACTTTTCTTCCATATCCTGGACATCTGACGCGGTCCATTTTGGGGTACGATAATCGTCCAAGGTGAAAGAATCGAAAGATCACAATCTAACTGAACAATGAGGATAGCTCCCATTCTGCTGATCGAGATTATGGGTCCATTAGAAACTGAACGTCCCACTTATTGGTGAGACAGTTGGTAATGACACTGCTTTTATAGTAATTGCTCGCCTTTCGTATACATTTTTCAATTAATTGGCGTATATACTTGCTCTTTCACGAAATAATAAGGTTAGGTATTCGATTAAGAGTTTATGAGATAATAATTGTGGTCTGATTGAATGAGATACATTCTTCAATTTTTTAAAGTTATTTTGCTCATAGTGTGTTAATTTACTAAACCTGTTCACAACCTGTCTCTTTATGAAGTTATAGATAATAATGACATTTTGCACTTTCGAAACGAAGTAAGTATACCAGGTGTACATCCCCTTTTCTTCCTCCACCTTTAGAGATAAGTGATTGATAAATATCTTTCATTTTCTTTTTCTACTCACATAGCTAAAATGGGATTTAGCGTACGAATATGTACCACACTAAATGATCTATTAATCACGGATTTTCGATCTGTGATTTATTCAAAATATTTAACACGTTACCATGGCAACACGATTTCTTAAACACATTACCATGGCAACGCAGTTCATCAAACACAGCTTCAGTAATTTGAGACATGTCTGGCCTGCTGTCAATTGTATTAACTTTCAACTATTATTTTCGAATTTTGTATTAGAATTATTCAAACAATTTTCGTTTGTATTAGAATTCTTCATTAAAAATATATGCGAAAAGTAGACGAGAGTGGAATCGAAGAGAATGTTCTGGCACTTATTGCATATCTCCAAGAAGTGTAAAAATGAAGCATCCATCTTTGAGAACAATTTATTCATTCTGCGCTAAGCATGACAATAAACGTGAACGTAAGCAATGGACTGGACACATCTACAACCAATATCACTTATACGTGTCTGGCTGGTTGCATGCAGTTGCATGTATTATGTTCTCAATTCCCATTCCTTTCGAATTATTTTGTATAGGTTAG